TCCTATGACTATTTGTAACCATTTTCAATTTATTGAACAATAACTGCAAAATTTAGCAATAAAAATTAAAAATGGCGTTTTTTTTTCAAATTATTCAAGAGAAGGTCTTATATTAAGCGTGTTACATGATGCTCATAAAAACATCACACCAACAACAATCCAAAATTTGAAGGAAAGAATAATAAAAGCTTGGAAATATCACTCTGGCAATTTTATGAACAGTAGAGACCTCATTCCAGAGACGATAGAAATCAAAATGGGCAACATGTGGAGCACTTTTTATAATATCTTCTCTTGAGTTACAAAAAATATATATTTTTAATTTTTGTTGCTGCATTTTGCAGTTATTATTCAATAAATCGAAAATGGTTACAAATAGCCATAGGGATGTACGTACAAAAAATGTTCGTTTTTCAATTCTACATCACATCGAATAAAAGGTGTTCCATTTGAAAAAATTGAAAATTGAGAAAATTCAGCTCAAATGTAAATTTAAAAATTATTTTTGGCCACCCTGTATATTTTTAAGAAGTAAAAATGTATCATCACACAGATGTTTCAAAACTGGTACTAACATATTTTTCTTAAAATCGATAATTGTAACTAATGATTTTTTTAATATTACGTGTAAACACCCTGTATTTTTATATAAAAAAAAAAACTAAAAATAATTGTCCCTATCTATTTAGGGCATACGATTTAAAAATCTACAGTCTTTAACTCTGCAGGATGTGAGGAGTGTCTGTAGGTGGTAATTCAGTGGTGTTCCTCATGTGTGATATCGGAGGCCATGGGAGGACATTCCAGATTGCGCTTGGGCAAAAAAAAAAGTAAAGTTTATCATTATCCAAAGTACAAATTTATTATAAAATTCTTAAATAAAAGTAAACTGAACACACCTCATTGAAATTTGAATAATTTACGTTTAGTTTTGAGGATTTGCTAAGTTAAAAAAGTTCCACTTTTTAAGAACATTTTGACCATACCAGTTTTTAATCCGCTGTTTCGGAAAATGAGCAACCTACCTAAATAAAATGTTACACTGAGAGAATGATTTAGTTGGGAGAAATAAATTTTATTTCAACCAAATAAATGATTTGTTTGTATTTGGCGAACTAAACATTTAATTGGGAGAATTAAGGCATTTATTTGATTAAAAGCCGAATATTTAATATTATCAATTAAATCAAAATACTTATTTGTAAGAAATATTTGTTTCTGAACACTAAATATTTATTTGTGAACATTAAACATTTGTTTCTGAACATTAAATATTTGTTTCTGAGCATTAAATATTTATTTCTCAGGAATGAGACTTTTTTACAGAAAATTGCGTGGATTTATTTTTGATGAATAAATTAATTTCAGGAAAATTAATTCCGTTTTTAATTTATTTATAGTGAACAAATATTTATTTCTCAAAAACAATGAAAATTTCTTATACTCATTAATATTAAATAAATTGTTAATTTTTGTTAATAACGCTGTTTAATTTATTTATAATAAAAAAAACTATTTCTCCTCGCACCTGCTTTGAGTATCCGCACCATCTTATAAATTATTTAAAGAATTTGTTAAATAAATCTCTGCCCCAAAAGGATTAGTCATAGGTTGGTTTTTTGGAGAAAAAAACAATCTGAACAATCCTTTTGCTACGCATGGTTTATTTAAAAAAATATGTAAATAATTTATATAGAATAGCGACTTAATACCTAAAGAAGGTTCGAAGACAAATTATACGGATACAACAAATAAATGAATATAGAAAATTAAAAATATTTCTATTAAAAAAAAAATATATAAAAATTTTTACTTACCTGGTTTATATTTGATTTATATTAAAAAATGTATGCCTCACGATTTGTCTACAGTACGATGTACTAAAAAATCAATTTTGCTAAAAATTATAGTAGATATTTTTTTATTTTTTTCACAAGTTGTAAAGCATATTGTCGGTCCACTGCCAAAACAACGAATGTGCATTTTTCTAATTTCTCAGAAGGGAAATAAAGTTGAATTTGTTGTTAAATATCCAAAGGTAATTTATTATAGGTATAAGCTTCCTAGTATTAAAATATTTCAAAAATATTCAATATTCGCATTTGCGGTTTTGGCACTGCAGACTAAAAAAATATATTATTTTCCAACAGAAAAGTCGAAACCGGCAAATTTGCACATTCGATGTTTTGTCATTAAAGCAACGTTATGGTAAGTATATATTTGCGAAATTAAAATGTATTTTATATTAAAAACATGTATGCTTCACGAGTTGTTTATAATAAAACATATTCTAAAAAATGATAGGGTAGATATCATATAATTTTTTATATAATTTTGCGTAGATGTAGGTACATACATAATATATCACTATCAGTATAATCAATTACTGTAATGAACTATAACTTCATAATATCTCCATAGACACGATGACGTTAAAACTTATATCTATTATGTTAATTCTTCTTCCATAGGTGTTAAGGTATTCATGCTTAATAAAGTTCTAATTTTTTTTAACTAATGTGTCTTATTAGAATTAGTTAAACCTCAAATTTATTATATATAAATCTGGATTTCCGTGTCAAATTTTAAGAGAAAATTCAGAGAAATTGTAAATATCAGGAAATGCAGCAATTATAACCGCTTATACCGAGTAAAAGTTTTGCATTGAATTGATGCGAGGATATAATTTATAAAATAAAACGTAAACGAACAAGAAACAATAATACAATGGTATGGTAATAATAATATAAAATAATACAGTCGTTAAATAACACCTAGTTAAAAAAAATAATCTATTTATTTTTATGCAAGAAAGTAATAAAAAAGAACATTCTCAACCGATATATTTGAGTACAGATTTTCCTTTTATTCTTTTCTTATTTTGACTGTAATTTGCTTAACTGGAACTTTTCAATAATACCAAATAGTGAGTTTATTATTAATTTAGAAATAATAGAAAGTTCAAATAAAGATTAATTTTCAATTTTCTTTACCCTTGTTTATTGTAATTTTTAATTGATGTGTCAGGTTAAGGATACAGACAAACAAATGTCTGTGTTAAAGGTAAACAAAATTAAATATATGAAAAATATTTGCACATATTTATTAAGAAAAATAAATCTCTGAACAAATTTTCACAGTTTTTGGCTAGGTTAGGTACTTTAATATGCTTTGATAAACAAATTACCACGTACAAACATTAAAAACTTACATTTAAAAGTTTCTTTGAGGCTTTCCAGCCTCAATTTTCTTCTAATAAACTATACATCAACCGAAAAGGCCACAACACTTAACACAAAGCTTATAATAAGAGAAAAACGGAACAATGGCGTCTTGTTGAATCTTGTCTAATGCGCTACCGCGGTTTCGCCGGTAGAGGGCCAACATTTAGTTCTCAGAAACAAAATTATTAATGAGGAATAAATATTTATTTCCGCTATTAGGGTAAAAACTTTAATAGTAAATATTTCTTTCTATGAAATAAATATAATGATGTAATAAATGTGGTGGATCCAAATGTGTTATTCATGAGTAAATTTATTTCTTATAAATAATTATTTAATTACAGAAAATAAATACCAAGACAATTCCTGAAATAAATCATTTAGTTTTGTCAATTAATCCAATCTTCGAAATATGCTTATTATAACAAAATTATGAAAAATATTTATTTGTCTGAATTAAATTTAATGCAGAATAATAAATATTTATTAAATTGAAAAAAACTAAGGCTTCTTAGTCATTTCAAGCCAGATATTTCCCACAATGTAGTTATCAATAAAATACTCCTTTTTTCATACACTGGCTTTATTCATAATTTTTCATTTTAAAATTTCCGAGTTGTCAAAAACGTGAACGTGACTTCATACTCATTCAGTTATTTTTCAAGATATTTCAATTTTGGTAAAATTATTTATTACAAAAAATGTAAACATTTTCAGAAAAAAAGATTTCGAAAATATCAAATATTAATTGAGTTATCAAGCGCGACAGATAATATAAACATTGCTTTATATAGTTGTTTGAAAGGCTGTAATTTATTAACCGTTCATATTTTTAAAAAAGTTTTTCCGGATAATTATTTATTTGATTGTAAGTTAATGTTCTAAAAAGAATCTCCCAAGATAACTGTGATAAATATGGCTTCGTGGTCCAGTGGTAAGGACACAATATCTTGATATACATCCTAGTTAAGATAGCACTGTACTGAATAGGTAATAAATTAATTTAATTGGCAAATTGTCAATTGGCCTCACCTTGAACTCCCAGGTTTGATCCAGGAACGAGGAGCGCGCAAAAGCCAGGGTTGTTTAGAATGGGGACCGTCATTCGCATAACGTTTTGTATTAGTGTTTACATCGGTACGCTATTGCAAAAAGTAACTTTCAGAAAATTGTTGTATTTTGTAGTTCAGTGTTTTGCAAATTATGGTGCAATAAATTTTGGTGCCTCGCGCATATCTATGCCTTGTAATGTTTGTCAAGTAGTACAAGCCCTAATTACTAATATTAAATCGAATTAACTATCGCTGTTCTAAATTGTCATAATTTGCGATATTTATTCTTCGTCATTGCAAATCCCATTTTTTTAGGTACTTATTCTCAGTCTAGGCCTTTTTTTTCTCTTTTATAATCCATGTTTTCACTCTTGATTAATTCACAGAATGGTATGTATACACAACACATAATAAATAATAATTCTTTCACGATATTGGTGAATTCATAATAAATCACCATAAACTCGAATCCGACCCTGAATAAAACTTCGAGCTAATAGCACGTTACATTGACCAATACCCGAGACGCCAACTGGGTGGTAAAGTCCACCTCCCGATACATTGTTTTTATCATAATTTACCGACACAGGGATTATGTGCTTTGAGGATGAAACTCTTAATGAGTTATAAATATGGCTAACATAGCATTACTGCATTTACCAAAACATAGCTACGAAATAACTATTTAGAAACGGTTATTTGGGTTGTGCTATGGTTGCGATTAACCGACTTGGTTTAGTGGCTAGAGCGAGCGATGGCAAGTGTGATTAGATAATCTCTTCATTGACGCTGCGGGTTCGAATCCCGCCACCAGTAGGTACTGGCAATGTCGGCGGGAATGGTTGTGTGTAAGCGGTTTTTCATAAGTGCAGCCTCGGCTTTGGATTCGGAGATTGTCTAATTTCTGTGGTGTTTATTATTATATCACATAGGCATAACTGATAGTGACTAAAATATGTCCAAACTATAGCTATTATTTGGCTATCAGAACGAGAAATATTCTCTTTAGGCATGGTAATGATAAAGGGATGTGTGTTGTAGCCATCAGCTTATTGTTTGGCTTTTTGTAAAGAATTCCTAACCACTTGCTTGTAATGCTATCATATTGTTGCTTTTCTACTTATAAAGTGCATATTTACTCTGCTTTCCTTATCACAGTTTGTTTCAGCACAGATTGGTCTGATGGTCTGTGCTTTCGCAATGATGAAATCAACAACACACAACAATGCCAATATATAATTTATCAGTTCGGAAATCCTGTACTCAAATCTTACGTTACATTTTTATTGTAAATGTAAATGAGATACTTCGAAAAAACCAACGCGCTCCAATTAATTATTTAATATTTATTGCATTTAAAATTAATATTATAGTTTATAATTTTTATTTTCACGCATTTTAGTACTTTATTTTAAGTTTTTTTGCATCTCTCAATATCGAACTAAAAACTCTTTAATGGTACACACCAATATTACTTACTACTAATACTGATGGAAAAAGGTAAATTTTACGATTTTTGGATTGTTATGCTGATGGTTAATTTTGTTTTATTTACTTGTTGAAAATATGTAGCACCTTGTTATGTATATTTAGGTATTTTATTTATTTCTTTAGAACATGTTTCCTCTAATGACCCATGAAAGTTTTTAGTTCAACATTGATGAGGGACAAGATTTAGAAATCCATCTGCCAATGCAAGTATTAAGAATGAATCCATTAGCAATTTGTTATGAGGTTTTACTTAATTTCACTTTTGCTTCTTTTCATATTACCTTTATATTTATTTAAATGGAATGTTGATCATTTGTGTGTACATTGTGGATTACTTTATTATTTTTCGGTAAATATTTATTTATTTAAGAAATAATAATGTACAGGGTTATCAACGACCGACTTCCCTAACCCTGATTTTCACAAACCATAGGTATATTACTTGCATATGTATTATTTTATTATTTCAATTTTTGAATATTTTCATTTACGAGCCCTAACAACTATATGTTAGGACATACTGTTATTTTTCAGAAATGTGCTTGATTACTTAAATCTAGTGATGTAAATTTGCTGGCTAATTTCATTTTTAGCATTTATTGCCGATTTTTAGCCGGCAAAAATCCGGACAAAAACGATAAAAAAAATTCTTACTTTTAATTTGGCACCAAATATGTATATATAAAATTAATGTTTTGTTGCATATATTAAGTTAGAGGAGATTTTAAAAAAAATAACATTACAATTTTAAATTTCTTTAATGGTTTATCTCCAAATGCGTCACACCCAAATGAAGGTGGACTCCATGCATTCGTACATTGAAGAAAAAGATATTACCAAGTAAACGTTTCAGCTAATTCTATTTGTATAAGACAGCGCGGAAAAACCCACGGTCCTTTAACGTGGAGTATCTTACGCACGGATTTTTTAAGAATTTTGACAATATCAAATTTTACAATAGCATTAGACTTGAAAGGATCTCTGGTGACTAATACAAGAGTGTTAAGATATACGGAAGGAGGCAAAAAAAATATAAATTGTATATATTGAAGGTCTTAAATCAAAGATATAAAAATATCTGTTTCTCGTGTAGAATGGCCTGGTAATATGTATTTATGAAGGCATGTAATTATTATTTTGGCAAATATATGTTCCCAACTGGGGAACAGTATGCATAGCAGGTACATTTTAGGTGTTTACTTTTTTTAGGTGTTCATTATGGATATTGACCTAGAAAAATTTAGTACTTTGATACCCAAAGTCTTTTATGGAAAAAACTCGACGCACATAAGAGATCTTTCTTCTGACAGTGAGGATTCCATTTTGGAGGATGATATTGATGAGTCCAACATTTTGGTGGAAAATAATACACAGCATGAAGAACTAGTTTGTTATAGTAGTGATGTTGAAGTACCTTTAGTTGACCTACTTGCAAATGTGCCCTCGACAAGTAAAGCATCTGAAGTCAAATGGAAGAATTCCATTACGAATACCAATGCAGAAGGTTTCAAGGAAATACTCTACTTCCTCCAGAAAACCTACAGTTGACAACTCCTTATAAAATTTTAAAGTTTTTCTTTGATGTCATCTTTTTAGACAGTATTGTTTATCAAACAGTTTTTTTCAGTACTCATACACGGCCTAACAAGCCACTGCATTTATCGAAGGACGAGTTAGAAAGATTTTTGGGTATCCTCATATGGATGTCAATTATAAAACAGCCAAATGCAAGGTAATATTGGTCCCTTAGTACACGTGTTGATCAAGTTGCTGATGTTATGCCCGTAAAAAGTGGGATGCAAGGGTAAAAGCAGAGTTACCTGTCAAAAATGTAAAGTACACCTGTGTTATTATACGAAAAGCAATTGCTTTGTAGAGTTTCATACAAATTAAATATGTATTAAAGTGCAGCTTATAAATACAATTGGGAATATATTTTTTTCTTAATTTTAAATAAAAAAGTTTGTGTCAGAATGTTTTACATGTTTTATTTACACCTTTAAATATCATCTTTAAATTTTTTTTTTTTTTTTTAAGACGAATCTAACGACAGATCAGTCTACATTATAAGAAAATATAAATCGAGTAAACATAAATAAAAAATGTGCATACTGCACCCTGTATGAAAATAAATACTAAACCTCGACCTCTGTTACTAAGTACTCGACCTCTATTGAGCCACCAGTAGCTTTTTTATATTATAAATAAAATGCTATTAAAATTTAAAATACCTGCAGTAGATCATCGTCCAATTTCGAATTAAGGCCTGTCAATTGTGTTTCAATTATTTCATGGATAATTATCAAACATAGTAACAATATCTTAAAAAAATCCACTCAAACGCCATTAGGTACAACTGGACCTTAGTCCGAGTTAGATTCGGATGAAGTCATCCCCCACATAAATGTTCAGTGGTTCTACTACGATGACCATTACAATGTCAAGCTGCCACATTTTGCCTCGACTTTGGCGTGACGAATGGCATTCTTCCAATTTTCAGCAGAAACATTTCCAATGGCTTGTTTAAGTAATAGGTGAAGGTCTTTCATTTTGAACGTACTATTGTTCCTCGTGACTTCCCCTTTTATTTGCCCCTATAATTAATTCAATAGGATTAAATTCACAATGATATGCGGGCATATCATTTTTTCATACCAGCATTCGGAATCTTCACCATTTTTGGGCTGTGATAGGAAGCGTTGTCTATCACAACCATAGAATGTTCATCCAAGCGTCCCAAAATATGAGTTAATCAGTTTTCGAAAATCTCACCAGTCATTTCTTCATGATAGTTTTCTTTGATTCGAAGCATAGTAAATCATCCTCAACGAAACCGTCCTCGGATCCTATATAGAGGACTATAAGACGACTTCCTTGCTTGATGGTTCTTTAACCCTGTTGGTAATCCTTGGATGAAAGCTTGCCTTGAAGTCAAGATTGTTGTGTCCTTCCATACTTTATTTACAGTGTGCCCAGCATTCACCCACGTTTCACCTAAGGAGTACAATTTCCTGCCTTCTTCCCGGTATTTCCTGATCTCTCGTAGGAAATGTCACCTCCAGGCGACGATGTTATCCTTTTTCTTAAGGACACTATTGCGTGACCTTTTTTGCAAACCTATAGTGCCAAACATAATAATTAAATTACAACATTGTAGAAAATTTGGTTTACTCACCGAAAGCCAATTTTTGTTATCAATGTCCTTAAAGTACACCATTTTAATCGAGGTAGATGTTTATCGTCATGCACCACCGTTAACATTTTATTCAGAGTTGGTGGTTCGTTTCTCTCAAAAAAGGAATGAATCAAACGTCCGAGAGGACTTTTAATTCCATCATCGATGTTATCCAAAATTATTCATTGTATCGGTGAATGAAGTTGGAGTGTTTTTTTATATTCACGAAGAATGTTGTAAACACTTGCAACACACGTACCTAAATTAATATGCATAATAATATAATATAAACTATAATAAATATAAACAATCTAAAAATACTTTAATAGTAAAAATATACTTCTATGCACTGATAAGCAACCCCATAAAATACAAAAATTAAAATTACCTGATGCCTTTGCAATAAACTCGACGACTTCTGCCCTAGGTTTATCCGGGTTGTCTCCAGTATAAGTCTTATAAATGTTCAACATATGTTGTTTGTCTTCAACCGAAAAATGCTTGGATGTCAGTTTTTTCGGTGGAGAAATAGCCGCTTGAGCTATAATCGGTATTAATCCCTGAAAGAAAGTGTGGTTATAAGATATAATCAATATTAATCGTTCTCATTACGTACCTTAATATAAATAAAAATGTTTGTTGTGACGTACTTCGTTGTTCTACATAAGATCAGAAGTGTCACTTTGACGCCCAACACTACGGCGGTGTGCTCACGATACGGATATCTCGGGCGCCAGTTTCTGTTTAGAGTGCAGAAACACCACTTTACTCTATCGGCGGGACGATAGAGGCCGGGCAACTACAGTGAAGAAACGGATAAGCCAGGGGTCGGGAAAAGGTAACTTACACACTACAGCTAATGAAACGACTCTCATTCAATATATTTACATTTATTCTACACACTAATTACTATTTACACTATATATACATCTTGATATTTACAACTTATTTTACAAGCGGTATTTATGATAGGCGAGCGGGGACAGTAAGCGGGCGTACAAGCGGTGCGACGCGGTAATACGGGACTAAGCAGTGAAAAAGGTGACCAGCAATAATGAGTCGGCCATAAGCAGACGGCGGACGGATACCAGGAGGGGAAGCAAGTGCCAATACGAGCTCACTATGACTATGACTATCTATGGCGGTTATTTACT